GAGGTTGCGGTGAGCCGAGATCGCGCCATTGCACTCCAGCCTGGGTAACAAAAGCGAAACTCTGTCCCAAAAAAAAAAAAAGAAACAACTTGGAGAAAATGAGTATGGAGGATGAAAACTTTTGGAAGAGAAAGTTCCCTGTTGCAAGTTCAGTTGTTAAAGTAAAAAAATTCAATCATGATAGAGAAGAGGAGGAAGAAGATGATGACTATGGCTCTCGAACAGAAAGCATCTCCAGCAGTGTGTCTGTGCCACCAAATCCTGAAAGGAGACCTTCTCTTCCACCTTCTAAACAAGCTAACAGGAATCTGATTTTGAAGGCTGTGTCTGAAACTCCAGAATCCATAACAAAAACAACTAACTATTCCACAGTCCCACAGAAACAGACACTTCCAGTTGCTCCCAGAACTTGAAATGCTCAAGAAGAATTGCTGGCAGAAGTGGTCCAGGGACAAAGTAGGACCCCCATTAAAGAAAAGGAAACAAAAGGAGATTCCATAGAAAAAAATCAAGGAACTCAACAGAGGCAATTATTATCCCAACGACAAATTGACCCAATAATGGCAGAAACTGCAGATCAGTCAAGACTACTATGACATGGAATCCGTGTTCCATGCAGACACAAGATCATTTACTCTGAAGAAGCCAAAGCTGTCTGAGGAAATAGTAGTGGCACCAAACCAACAGTCGGGGATGAAGGCAGATTCCCTTCGGGTACTTTCAGGACACCTTATGCAGACACGAGATTTTGTACAACCAGATAAACCTACAAGTCCCAAGTTTACAGTGATGCTGGATGGTGTCCCCAGTCCCCAAGGATACATGTCAGATCAAGAGGAGGACATGTGCTTTGAAGGAATGAAACCCGTAAACCAAACTGCAGCCTCAAACAAGGGACTCAGAGGTCTCCACCCACAGCAGTTGCACTTGCTGAGCAGGCAGCTTAAGGACCCAAAGAGCAGCTTTTCCAACGCTGACATGAGTGAACTGAGTATGGCACAGAAACCAGAAAAACTTTTGGAGCGCTGCAAGTACTGGCCTGTTTGTAAAAACGGGGATGAGTGTGCCTACCATCACCCCATCTCACCCTGCAAAGCCTTCCCCAACTGTAAATTTGCTGAAAAAATGTTTGTTTGTTCACCCAAATTGTAAATATGATGCAAAGTGTATGAAACCAGATTGTCCTTTCACTCATGTGAACAGAAGAATTCCAGCACTGTCTCCAAAACCAGCAGTTGCACCACCAGCACCACTTCCTAGCTCGTAAGAAGATGGAATGTCCCTTCTATCATCCAAAACACTGTACAGCTAGTGCTCGACTTACGACCACGGTCGGGACCGCGGACCGGTCGTAACACGATGTGGTCATAAGTTGAGTAGGCTATATGTACAGTTGAAATGGTGCACGCAGAGAGGGTAGTGCTGCCGGTAGCTGGTCCGCACTGTGGTACGCCCAGCTGGGCAACGTTTGCGCTGCCAGACGCAGAGCAGTCGTGGCTAGTGATTGCGGTCGTAAAGTCGAATGGTCGTAAGTTGCATAGGTGGTAAGTTGATCAATACCTGTAGGTTTAACACTCAGTGTACGAGACCGGACTGCACATTCTCCCATCCCACCATTAATGTACCACCACAACATGCCTCGAAATGGATTCGACCTCAAACCAGCGAATAACACTCGGTCCTGCCTGGCAGAAGATCATGCAGTTTGGAAGTTTCCATCTACTGATGAATACTCTACAGAACTTGTCAAATCTTTGAAACTTGGAATATATTTCTTTCATAATATGAAGTTTATTGCCTAACCAAATTGTCTAATTTTTCAAGTTTGTAAGTTTATTAAGTGATTTTAACATTGGGTGTTTCTGTTTTGTTTTTACTACGCAAAGACAGCTTAAAGAAGAGCTAAATTCTGTGAAACGATTTGGGGCATGTTTGTGCACTGCTGTTGTGAGGGTTGGCATATGACACTGACGTCACGGTTAGTGATGGTGCTGCAGCTTACGGGGCTACACGGTTGCTGTGAGAGTGGAGAGATACAGTGAGGCAGTTGTCATTATTCTGTAAATTGAACTGCTTTTCCTTTTCCCAAAGATCATATAATGTTCATAATCCACCATGAAAACAGGACTGGCCAGAGGTACAGAGGCTGCTGAAAATATTCAATTCTGCCTTTTAATTTTTAAGTGAATTTAGTTTGAAAAGCTTCATAATACAAACGTCTCAGGCTCAGTGCTACTTTGGTAAAGTTCCCGGTTTCCTTGCCTTTTGTGACAGGATGAACGTGGCGGGTATGGACAGTGAAGACAGCTGCAATGGCAAGTGCAGAAAACAGGAACAGTTCTACACATCTACTAACAGCATAATACCTTCTAAAGAAATTTTTTGGGAAACTACATTATCACAAAATTACACAAATTTTTTTACAAGTATTTACATAAGGTATTTGAAAACAGACTCTAAAGTCACAAGATTATACATGTACATATATAGTCTCACATTCTGAAAAATAACATTCTCAGAAATAGCTCCACAGAAAATATACTTAGTGACTACTGAAGATAATTTTTGAAATGTAAAAATTAGATTGAAATAATGTATTTTAAATGAGAGAACTATAATTACAGAGATCAGATAGGTAAACTGCAAGATAGGATGAAACTTTTGGCTTACTGTATTACAGAGTTGTGTGTGTGTGTGTGTGTGTGTGTGTGTGTGGTTTTTAAAACTGTTAAGGCAAGAAGTGTCAAATGCTTTAGAGTTAAATAACAAACAGATCACTGATTTCAAAGGCTTGTTGTATACTAGTGTTAAAAATTGAAGCTTAAAAGGTGGTTAGAAAAGTAGATTAATGAAAAAGGGATAAAAAAGACTGCAACATTCTCAGGACCAAATTAAACTGCTAAAAAGTTCATTGACTTGCTTAGTCATATACCCAAATATGATAAATCTCCATGTGCAAAGGCTCATGTTTTAAGATTGTCAAGCCAGCAGTCTACTGTTGTGCTGCCATTGCTTTTCCATTGGGAGAAGAAAGAATTAACCAGTCATTAAACCATTTGGTAAGTTGCACTTTGCTGTGCTGATCCCACAGGAAA